TTGTATGGGGAATATAAAATAAAATTTATTTTAAAAAATTTTTTTAATTTATTTATTTTATGAGAGCTGGGGTATAGGCCAGAGGCACGGAGAGTGAGAGGATTCACCAGAGGCAGAACAGGGAGCAGAACAAGCAGACGACAGAAATACACTGCTGTGGGAGTAGCGGGGTGACAGGAAAGGTCTGCCGCGCCAAGTGGGATTCTCGCCAGGCCAGGATCGAACCCGCACTGCAGACAGCTTCACAGCACGGTGCTGAACCCGCTGCGCCACTAGGGAGGCTCTCTGTGATATCTCTTATAAAACTATGGCTCCCATTCATGAGGACCTGCCCTCTTCACCTAATCATCTCCAATGACTCTTCCTCCTAATATCACATTATATACTTGATTTCAACATGCAGTTTGGGGACACAAAATATTAAGTTCATACTATATGCAGTCAAGTGTTAGTGAATGTGTTGCTGAGATTCAGAAGAATTCGGCACAGTTTTCTGGGTAAAAAAGCCAGACCCTGGGTTAGGTAGGTGATGGACTCTTAGAACAGGCCTAGACAGGCAGTGGAGTGGGAGTAATACACATGCATAGAGCCGTTGCTGCTGGGTTTGGAGGTGGGCGGATTAGAGAATAGTAGATAAACTTGAGATCTTGTTTATTTGAGGAAAGTGTGGGTGTCACAGGGCCCCAATCCAAAAGAGTAATGTCCTCTGCCCTCTAGGGAAAGCATTCACCAGAGTTCACTAGATGTAGGTGAGCCAGGCAAGGCTTTATTGGAGAGATTCATGCATGAGGGAGCACAGCAGGAGCTCCAAAGAGAGTTAGGAGGAGATATTCAAAGGTAGTGTCAGGTAGCATTTAATAAGGTTAAAAACTTACCCTCCACTCCTTGCCCAGCAGGCAGCTTTGGGGGCTTGAATAGATAAGGGAATCAAAGTTGCCCTGGGAACGTGGCCATAACACTGACCACGATGGTCAGAAAGTCCAGTCCAGCAGAAGCAGGGCCAGGACACATTCTGTGTCAAAAGCCATGCCCAAGACCAGATATCCCATCAGATAACTAGTGCAAAATTGGCACTGCAAGTAAGAAAGCCTGCAAAAAACAGGACATAAAGCTTCAAATCCTTCCTGTACAGATAAATATCTCCCATGTCGCTCCCTGGTCCCCTGCAGGGTATTTCTGTTCTCAACTCCATCTCTGGTAAATTCTTTCACCCCACACCTCTGGCCTCACCCAAAATTACACCACCACCCTTAGGTCTGCAAGGCCAGAGGAGCCGAACAGTGTCATATCCTGCTCTGGCTTGGGCTGTGCCAGGGGAACACACAAATGTGTCATATTCCAGCTGTGAGTGTGGACTCTCAACTTTCTTCCTCGAGGAAATTGTGAGATAATCATTAGTCAGGATCTAATGCTTTTTATTCATCATGACATCTCATGGTCAGTGCGGGGGGGGGCAAATTATTTGGCAGGAGGAGCCAGTCCATGATTTAGTCCACTTGTTCAAACAGGACATGGGGCAACTCATCCTCCCTGATTGCAATTTCTCTTACCTAGGCTAGCTCATTAGTTCAATTAAAACTAGGTTTATCATGAACTCTGAAAACAAAGAGATGCAATAAATAAAGATGAAGGTTTTAGGAGGAGGAGGAAAATAAAGTGTAAATTTCTGAAAGATGATAGTATGAGATATATAGATGAAAAAATGGAAGTCATTGATGGTATAAAGGAAAGTTGAAGTCTACATGTGACATGAGTCAGCAGCATTGAACAGGAAGGTTACCTGAACACCTTCTTTATGCATTTGTTACAGGGCAGGGAGGGAGGCAGCCCAGACCCCGCAAACCTGCCTGTTCTAAATAGGTTCTGCCGTCCGCCACATCATCAAAGAACATATGAGACTTTAATGGGAGGGAACTTTAATACAATTAGGAAACAATACAGGAAAGGCAAAGAATACAGTTTCTAAATCAAGTTACCATCCTCTCGTGGGTTAAAGTCCACCCAAATGGGATTGGCCCAGAGCAAGGCCCCAAAACTGCCACAAGTCTAAAGAATCTTCCAGTGGGGACCCACAGAAAAGGATCAGAAACAACCAGACAAGTCCGGAAGGAAAAGAGCAAAATCAAGACAAAAACCACCATTGTCACCTCCCCACGGGTCTCATCCACATCTGTGTCACCCAGTCCACAACCAAAAGGCAAGCGCAGTTTTTCACGTGTCTCTCTGCTCCATGAGCCTCCTCCAGGTCTCCTTCTGGATCCATCCTGCTTTCTCCTTTCCTCAGTCTCCTCTGCAGCTTCTTCTCTCCCTGCTCAGCTCCACCCTCCCTTGGGTGGGACAGGAAACCCGGAACCTCCCCCTTTCCTGGGGACCACCCTGTTACACATTGACAAAATGTCGAAATACTTTGCAAATTGTGCATCATTTGCCAGTAATAAATGACCTACTGATTATGCACGTGATGTCATTTTGGAGTCAGTGGGTTTGGAGAGCAGGTTTCTTGGGTTCACTCTGGGAAAGGTTTCACCAGAGCGCCCCTTTCAGCAGCTTAGGGTAAGGTTCTCACAAGACAGAGATATTAGTTATATTTAAAAGAGCAGGTTTATTAAGGAAAGGGAACAGAAGAATAAAGGACACTTGTATAGACACAAGTGGGCAGGAAGAGCTGCCCTGAAAGGGACAGGTTTGCTGAGAGAGGTCGGCATGGTCGCAGGCAGGTGGCCTTGAGGAGAGCTGCCTCCACTGAGGCATGGTGCAGGTCACAGGCAGGCAGGGAGTTGCTGCCCTGAAGAGGGAGAGAGTTGGTGAAAAGAAGCACCTGCATAGTCACAGGTAAGCAAAAGGACTGCTGCCCCTTTGCGGGGGAGGAGAGGAGGGAGCATTAGGTTTTATCATGTTTGTGGGTGGATGATTTATTCCTTAATCTCCATGTCTTCACTTTTAGGCCTGTGCTCCTGACATTCCCTACAGCAGTTGATAGTTTTATAGCTGCATTAATGGCTATGTTAATCACTTCTACCCCACCTCCTTGTGTGAGTTTTGTGATGCTTCCTTTCCAGTTTTTCTATTCTTATCCTCCATCATTCTCACTAAAACATATACAGATGGGAACAAAAGTTCTAATTACTTGAAGCTTAATATGTTTAGTGTTCAGGTTATAAAAAAGCATGGTTATCCTATTCAATGTGTCAAAATACAAACACATCCTCTTTCACCCTACCCAAGAACTGCAATAAAAGTTTCTAGCGTCATGAGCCTCCTTGGTGGTGCAAGGGGTTAAGATGCAACCTGTGAAGTTATCTGCAGCCACTGCAGCATGAGTTTAATCCCCAGCCAGGGAGGTGACCCACATGGCACAGCAGACCTCTCCTGACTCGCCCGCTGCTCCCCTCAGCAGTGTATTTCAGTCATTCTGCCTGTTCTGTTCCCCACTCTGTCTCTGGTGAATCTTCTCACACACACCCCCACTCTGGCTTGTACCCTAGTTCTTGTATGTGTAAATAAATAAATCTTAAAAAATAAGGAGTTTCTAGCATCAGAAAGGTTTTACAGACATTATTAATATCAGAATTGGAAACAATAGCTTCTGAATGGTGACACCAGCACTTCACCCTTTTTTCTTAATCAATAAACATTATTTTTTCTCTTTCCCTTTCTTTTTTTTTTTTTTTCTTATCCTTCCTTTTGTTCCCAAGAATCAAACAAAAAAAGTGAAAAACAGTGTCTCCTCTTTCCACCAGCAGAGGCGCGGGTGTCAAAGGCGTAGTAACCACTAAGCGCTGGCACACAGAGATTGTCCCTGATGAGAACCCGTAGTTGACTTGCTGTCGCTGAGCAACGGGGGGAGTGGGCGGGACTTGCCTTGCGCGATCCTGCGCGCGACGCTCCAGACGGAAGCGGAAATGTCGGTGGAGCGCGAGTAGGAAGTGGTGATCCCTGGAGTGGAGATGGCGGCGCTTGCTCCGCTACCCCCACTCCCCCCACAATTTAAGAGCATACAGCATCATCTGAGGACGGCTCAGGAGCATGACAAGCGGGACCCTGTGGTGGCCTATTACTGTGAGTCTTTTTGAGTCACCCCGCGTCTCCTTACCCTCCGGGCTCACGCATCACCCCTTGGTTTGGGGGGTAGGCCCCGCCCCCCGGCTTTAGATTTGAGCTCTGACCTCTGGCGGGGCCTGAGAACAACACCTCGGGACTCCGCGCTTCTCAAAAATCCCGACCTCCTGCTCCCGAAAGGCAGAACTCTAAAAGCATCATGGTGCCCACTGTGCCTCCTCTCTCGAGCGTAAATGTGCCTAAACTGAGTCCATGGGCCGATGAACTCTGGCACGGCTGCCCGGTGCCTTTCTGTGTCTACGCAAGAGCCTCCTGTCTCAGCCAGGGAATCCCCAAAACAACCTGGGTGCTTGAGTATGAGTTCGCGTTGAAACAAAGGTGATGAGAATCACAGACTGGAGGGATGTGGATAAAAGGAAGACAGACTAGCTGTAAACAGTAATTTCAGCTTAATTGTAACACGCAGACTTACTCAGAAACTCATAAATGGTTAAAAGAAGTGTCTCCTACCATCACTTGCATTTGACCATTTTCCTTTTGCATACAAACTGCTCTCCCACCGATGAACTTTTCCTAGGGTGAGACCTTTGGAAGTAATACGCTCACTAGGATTGATTGTGATACATATAATCTGCAGTTGATAGTAAACACGGATAAGCTTGGTCAAACATTTTCCTTTGTGGTGGAGAGAGGAGCTGCAGCAGTTTTATATATACTTTATTTTACGTTCCGTATTATAATTTTACTGCAAATAAAACAAGTGACCGAGCAACTGCAACTACTCTCAAGGGTTTTTAGAGTTGAGAAACTGATATAATGTATCTCCCGTTGTATACATTACAAGGTTAAGCTAAAATTGATGTCTTGTCATCCCTGCTACTCCAGATGTATCTCATTTGCATTTCTCACATGTTCAGGCCTTGCCAACTTCTGTTTTCTTAGAATGTCTACCTGTTCTCCACTTGGCCGGCTAACTCAAATATCACCTGTGTAATCAGATGCAACTCATTGTTCATCTAACTCAGTGTCAGAAGTAGGTAGTGAATTGGTCTCTAGGCTTTCTCTTATTTTGCTCAAGTCTTATAATGTTAATTCTGTTACACTTGTTCTTCAGGTTCCTCAAGCAGGGATCATGAATCATCCATTCAGCATGTATTTATTGAACTTCTGTATGGATCAAATATTATGTGGTGGTTTGGCTACATTTCCTGTATTTACAGAGTTTACCAAACAATACAATGGGTATATTATATCAAATATTAGAAGGTTATGAAGTAAAATAAAAAGGAGAGAGAATGAGGACTAGCACTAATGGGGGGGGGGAGTTTTGTAGGGGATTTCACTTTCAAAGTGATCAGGAAATGCTTCACTCAGTTCATTTCTGAGCAAAGACTTGAAAGAAGTAAAATGCAGGCCTTGCTTCATCTGGAAAAGTATATTCTCCAAAAAGGGAATTGTTAAGTACAAAAGTCCTGAGTCAGAGGCTTGCATTAAAGAGGATTGAAGAGACAATTGTAAATGGAGTGCATAGAGTTTTCTTATAACAATGAAATAGGAACCCTTGTTCCTGTGTCAAACTAATCCCTATTCATGGAATAAACTAATTCATGGATGCTCTGTTATACACCTTTGTGACTACCCAGGAGCCCTTTATATCCTGTGTCATTATCCTCTCTCTTGCTCTTTTCTAAACATGCCTTGGTTTTCTTTATTTTAAAAAATTTAAAAAATAAAAGAAGTTGTCACTATGACATCCCCCTAAGGGATGTCAGACTGTAAGTTACCGACCTGTCTGCACACACAGTTTTTTAATATGTTGTATAAATAAGTTTGAAATAATTGAGGTTGTCTATACATCCTTATCTTACTGAATCTTTTCAGCCCATTACAGTATGGTTTTTATGCCAGTAATTTCACTGAAATTCCTTTCGCCAGAGTCACAAACACTTTCATTGCTGAGTCCAAATAGCATTAAAAACACTTTTATATAACACAGACATTTTAAAGAACATATATACTGTATGTATAGAGTTTTGGGAATGGTAAAGTGAACACTACTGTAGACATCATGTGTAACATTACTACAATGACTTTTGCTAATGTGATGGGTGTGAATGGGTTTCTTACTGGATTAAAATTTGCAAACCCTTGAGTCAGGGAGTTTGAGCATCTCTTCATATGTTCACTAACCATTTGTGATTCACTTTTGAAATACTTATTTTCTTAATAACCTAGACACTAATAATCCTTTGTTACATGCATTGCAATTTCTTTTTCAAATTCATGACCTGATTTGTCACTGTGAAGTCCTTTGATGTTCTAAGTCCTTAATTTTAAAATAGTAATTTATCAATTTCTGCTTTATGACTGACTTTCTGATTTTCTAGGCCTTGATTTATTTTTATGTACCTTGAGATTTTGACTTTCTGAACTTCTGGTTGGTTGTCTTATAAATTCTGGGAATTTACTGCTAATCTGTTCAGGTATTGAGTCTCTACTACCTATTCTGTAGTGAAATTTTGATTAGCTATATGTTGAACTTTACTCCTTTAACTTGTTTGTGTCATTTTCACAGTTTTCCTCCCTTTATCTCTCTGTGCCTTGTTCTATGTTCTCTTCATATGTCCTATTGTATAATACATTTATTCCTACTTTCATATTTTATTCCTAGATGTTCTTTTTTGATTTCAAATTATTGTAGTTAGTCTTTTGTTACCATATTCTTTTAACACTCCAGTTTCTGTAAATACTTTGAAAGTACTTATTATTTGCTGTGTGATAACTCCCTTAGCTTCTTTATTTGTGGGTCTGATTTTGCTGTTTAATAGAGTACTGCAGATAGATGACTTTTTTCTTATAATTTTTGCTCTAATCACACTAAACGAGTGCTATATAAACTTTAGTATACAAGTGATTCTACAGGAATCAGTTTCCATATTCTCAACTTCCATGTTTCTTTCCTGACAAAGCTTCTTTGCAAAGCAGTGTGCTGCTTCTCTTCCCCACATCCTGTTCACAATTGCCTTTCTTCTGCCTTACAGAAGAAAGATGTGCTGTCATGTCTCATGAGTGCTTTTGTGGTGTATTGCCCTGGAGAGAAAGGTAGAAAATTCTCCAGGAAAAAGGGTTATTTCAATTACTGGTGTTAAGTGAAACGTCCATTAATTAAAGCATTAAGTAGGGCTGCTTCTCTTTCCCTATCTTGTATGCAAGAAAATCAACCAGAGCAAAGAATAAGCCTTTATTACAAAATGCTAGGCATGAGAAAGGAAGTCAAAGGAACATTCTAATTGGGAGGGAAAAGGTGGGACATTTTATTAGAGCAGGGAGGAGTTACCTGGGGTTTGTCTTTTTTAGGAATAATTGTTCTGGAAAGAATCTGAGAAGATGAATTATTCTTAGAATCCATTGTTTCATCATTTTGGGTTTTAGCTAGAGGTGTAGCCAGAGGGCATTGTGGGTCCAAGGTCATGTGGAAAAAGGGCAGTGGGAGGGTTAGTTGGGGATAAGGTTATGGAAGCACCATTCCCTTCTTTTAGACTATAAGTCTTACACTTATATGTGTAACTCTTAAGGGTAATGCCGCTTGTTAAAAATTGACCTGTGTTGGAGTATTCTGAATTACCAAAATGGTAAACATTTTCATTATATGATCTGGCCTTTTTGTTCTCTGCTCATTATTAAAGAATAGCATTCCTGAGCTAAGAGCAGAAGAGAAATGCTGAAGGGGGCAGTGCCTGTTTCATCCAAATGACCAGCTCATGCAATGGTCTGTGGCTTATCACAGGTTTAGAATTAAAATGCAGAAATGAGTGGGGCATTTGGGTACTTACTAACATTTATTAAAACTGGAAAATTAAAGTCATGACTTGCTGAAAAAATAAGCTTCCATTGGCCGATTGGTTTGGCACTGACAACTGATTTGCCATTTATGTAATATGGTGGACATTTACTTTCCTGTAACTAACTAGAGTAAATCTTGAGCTCTGAGCTTTTTTTTTTTTTCCCAGAAATATAACAAAAATATTTACACTTTTTTTTGAGAAGGAATTTTGAGATTAACAGCATTTTGGTTTGCCCAATCTCATTGTCTTAGGATAAACAAGAAGCTTCTGATTGAGAGAAAATACTGACCTTTTATTGTAAACATCGCAGAAATTGAGGAAATGAGTAACTTTAATGATGGGTGATATCTTTTTTTTTTTTAAGATTTATTTATTTATACAAGAACCAGGGTACATGCCAGATCCGCGGGAGGGTGAGAGGATTCACCAGAGACAAATCTGGCAACAGAACAGGCAGACTGGCGAAATACACTGCTGAGGGGAGCAGCGGGTGAAACAGGAGAGGTCTGCTGTGCCATATGGGACCCTCACTGGCCAGCCAGGATCAAACTGGCGCTGCAGAGGCTGTGGACAGCTTCACAGCGCTGTGCTCGACTGCCTGCACCACCAGGGGAGGCCCTCCTTTTCTTGTTTTTAAACAGAATTTGAGATAGACCTATTGAAATTCAACTAAGAAAGATTATTAAAAATATTACTTGATAATAGGGGATACGTAGTTTTAGGTCAGAAGAAATTGAAAAATTTCAGTTATTTTTGTTATGATAAAATTTCTATTCTATCTTCACTTTATAGGAATAAATTTTCATCTATATTAAATTCATAAATATGAAAATACGAATAGAATTGATACTCTACAGGTTTATTATGACCATAAATCATATTGATTCATAGATAATGTGCTATGACTCATTTTAAGATGCATTTCCATTAAAAAAAAATTTTTAGGGCCTCCCTGTGGCACAAGGGGGTAAGCACCAGACTATGAAGCAATCCTCAGCCTCTGCAGCACAAGTTCCATCCCTAGCAGGCCAGGGAGCAACCCACATGGTGCAGCAGACCTCTCATGTTTTGCCCGCTGCTCCCCTCAGCAGTGTACTTTGGTCAGTCTGCCTGTTCTGTTCCCCACTCTGTCTCTGGTGAATCCTCTCACCCCCC